CATGGGTTAGTCATAGGGGACTGGTCAGTGTTGGGTTCATGGTTGGACTCGATGATCTGAAAGGGCTTTTCCAATCAAGGCAGTTCTGTGACTCGTTTAGATCCAAGTGTGCTGTTGAGCTGTTTCAAAATGCCCAGAGCTGCATGGAAACCTGGAGCATGTACGTTCCACCTGCTTCCTGCTGCTGGGAAAAAGCAGATTGTGACTGGGCCACAAGATAAAAGCAACTGAATTTTTTAAAACTGTTTTAAAATCTGTTTTCTGGATGAAGCCTTTTTTTAGAATCCTTTTTTTTGTTGGAAAACTAAAAGAAGAAAGGATTCCCCTTCTTGAGGGGAACTAAACTGCTACTGCAACTGCACATGCCATTAGCATTTCCTTTGAAAAGCCAGCAGCAGCCGTGGAAAACCCCAGCTCTCCGTCCCCTTCCGAAGGGCAGCACTTCCTTCCTTTCCTTTTTCTGCTTCAAATCTGTTTTGTTTGACTTAGAGAGGACCTTAATTCCTACCTCCTGTCCATGTCCTGCACCATACTTGAGAGCTGCTTGACTTGAACATCTCCAAAGCCATGGTTTGGAGGGAGATGCTGGACAGAGCTGATTGTTCTCTGACCACAGGCATCCCGGCTCATTGTCCCCCACCTTGGGGGCTCCTCCTTGGGCTGATCCCTCGGGTGGGTTTTGTTTTTTAGGTTGGAGAATGAGGGCATCCCAGCTCATTGTCCCCCACCCTGGGGGCTCCTCCTTGGGCTGATCCCTCCTGGGATCCTCGCAGGGGGGTGGGTTTTGTTTTTTAGGTTGGAGAATGAAGTCAGGTGGTGGAGGGGTATAAGCACCAGAGTCAGCCCAAGGGATAGAGAGGAGTGAAGCCTCTCTGAATGCTTCATCTCTGCAGACATTTGATCAGCTCGTGGTTACTGGTGGCTCCTCCTCCGTGCTGCATGCTGCCTGGTCTCTATAGAATCATAGAATCTCCTGGTTGGAAAAACCTCTGAGATCATGGAGTCATCTTGCACAGGGCAGCAAAGGCAGGGCTCAGGGCTTTTGGAAACTGTTCCATCAAAGGAAAAACTACTTTGCAGGCCACCAGACTCTGTTTTCTGTCACTGGTTGGTCTCTGAAAAAAAACAAAAAACAAAAAAAAAAAAACAACAAAAAAACGGACTGGAAGGGGAGGGCTGCTACTGCCTGACACCAGGGCTGCTTCTGCCTGACACAAGGGCTGCTCCTGCCTTACAC